TCTTCTTCCTTTTTTAGCATTCAAATCGTATTCAACTTTGCAATTCTATCTTTTTATTGTATTAGAATGATTTTTTTTATTCGCACACGCTTTGTATAAAGTGTCATAAGAAAGTTAAACAAAACAAATTTCATTTACGTTATTTATAATATATTTTTGTATTTAAAACGAATTAATATTTGATTTTAATGGTTTAAGATTATTTTAGAAATGTTTCGATATATGTTGTAAAAGTAATAGGTAATATTTATTGAAAGTGTTATAATATTCAGTAGTAATACTAGTAAGAGGAAACTTATAAATAAAATAAATTTCATTTATAATATATTTTTGTATTTGAAACGAATTAATATTTAATTTTAATGTTATACGATTATTTTAGAAATATTTTAATATATTTTATAATAGTAATAATATTTATTTAAAATGTTACAATATTTAGTAGTAGTAAAATAGTAGTAATAGTAGTAAATTTTTGTAGGATAAACTTTTCATCAAATGATGATCGTAGAAACGTGAGCACCACGAGTACTACTTGTTTAAACGTTCTTGAGAACGTGCAACGTTTCTATTCAGTGTTCAAGGTCGATTACACATTACCTTACCCTCCGTAGTTTCACGAGGCACCCACCCAACCCCTTCACCGACGTGGGTCGAGTTGATCGCAGACGTCTGCTCTCGTTAACGAGACTACTGATCGTACCTCGTAATTCCCCGACGATCATTTCCGTCATTTTAAATTTCGTCTTATTCTCTTGAAATCTTCACAAATCGATTTAACCGATTTGCATAATTCTTTCCTGTTAATTACCTTATAAAAAAACGATTTTATCAATTCATATTGTAATAAGTACTATTTGTATTTTATTCATATTATTTAGAAACACATTTTTATTTAATTTCTTAATAATTATTTTTAAAAAATTAAATAATATTTTAATGCGTACACGTGCATGTATTTCCATTTGTATTATTTCAAAATTATATGTGGATAAGTTTTTAAATATTTACAAAATATTACGAAACCTATTATATATGAAAATTATATTAAATGTTATTGACGATTATTTTTGGTAGAATTTAACTAATATTATAATATTTATTTTTTAATAATATACCGATATTAATATTATCCAAACCATATTATATTATTACATAATACAAAGATATATTCAATTTATATTATCTACAAATTTGTTAAACGATTTATTAATAATATTTGAAAAACAATATCAATATCTCATATTAATGAATAAAATCGATTTTCAAATGTATCGATATCGTTTGTATTTCGATATTAGAATTGTAAATACCAACAAGAGAATAATAAAAAGAAAGGAGTCGTCAGTTACGAGGTAAAATCGTAGTCTAAGGTTTAAAAGGAAAATGGGGTGGTAAAGGTGGAGAGGTTGGTTGGATAGCTAGGTAGGTAGGGAGGTAGGTAGGTAAGGTAGGGTTGGGTGGTGGGATAGGTGAGAGGTCGTGCTCGTAGCATAGACGTTAACTACAAATCATTCGTGCTTCGAAAGCCGAGGCGTTAGCTCGATAGTTTAATATTAATGTCCGATCGGTAACGAGTTACGACTGCGTCATTTCCGACGAGCTAGAGCAAGCAACACGCTATTAATCCCAAAGCAACAAAATTTCAACTTCAAAATATTACTACTATTGGTATATATGTATTCGCGTATTTTAAAAAACGATTAAACTGTGTATTTCAATATTTTTTATAACACACTCCCACCCAGCCTCCAATCCACCCCTTTCGTTATCGTCTTATACGTTTGACAATTTTCGAAATACGTTGTACAAACATATAATAATAATATATAACATTCGAAATAATAATTCTTAACGATCATGTCCCAATCCCTTCCACCCTACTTCCCCCTCATTCCAATTTTTATTATTTTTATTTTTTTATTTTATATCCTATTTTTCGTTTCTATTTTTTGATCGTACTTTCTCCCCCCCCCCTCACTCTTGCTCTCTCTCTCTCTCATCGTTGTTATTTTACGAGGATTTAATCAAAATTTGACGAAGAGAAAATAATTCGTTGGAAAGTGTTCGCGTGAATTTTCGTCGTGGCTACGAAATTTACTATGTAATTTTCATCGACATTAAAAATGAATTCATTTGTTTATTCATCATGGTAGTAGTGTGTTGGTACTTTTTAGTATCGTTGACCATATATATATATACATTAACGTGAGCGAGTACAAATGTAACATACATATAGAAACACATCGAGTTCGTTGAACTTGTGGGTGATTAATATTTACCGAGCGTTTTAAAAAAAGAAATATAAAAATATGCATAAAAAGAGAGAATTAGATAAACAGAAAAAATATAATATAATATATCGTACGTATCCCTTGCTATTTTTCACATATACACATATTTTTTTTTATATATACATATGCATTTTATTATAATTATCATTCTAATTCGATACTTGGAACTTTGATTAGCATCGTTTAAAACGAACCAACGAAGAATTTCTGTTACGTGTATGAAAATATTTTGATACAATCATTCCAAAAATTAGGACAAAAATTTGCATTCCTCTTGCATTGAAAAGTTCTGAACTTTTCAGCCCTTCTATTATGCAAGAAAAACAGTTCTTCTTTTATATATAAATATATTTAATATATAAAATACTCTTATACGCATTCCATTTGTTTAATCCTTAGAGTGCTATAAACGCAAATATGCGTTTGGTAAAAATTACCAGAGTGATCTATCGACACATATACGTGTTTGTTAATATTAATGTAAAATAATGTAATGTTTATATTAATTAATTAAATTATATTCAGAAAGAAAAACTTTAATTATTAACACTATGGCGTTCGGTGACATGCAAAAACTATCTGTTGTGTGCCGGTGGTACCACTTTGGTGCCATTAAAAAAAAAAAAAAAAAATAACATTTGAATTATATTTCGTGGGTGTTTTTTAGGGGAGCATAATAACTATAAAATTGTACTTATTTAACCAAGAATTAAGTAAGAACAATGTTTGACTAACATATTTTAATTAAAGCAATAAATATTGCAGCCCTCTTCTAAATTTTGTCAAAATTCAAAATTTCCAATCTATTATGCCGGCGTCGAACAAAAGAAACATATCTAAGATCTGCGGACGGGCATAGTGTTAAATATAATTTATTATTAGAATGTAGTTAATAATAAATTATTCCGTTCCTACAAAACATTTTAATTAAAAGTATTCAGCACTCAAAAGGTTAAATGTTATACCAAGTAATAAAAAATTATAATTATTTTGATAAAAAATGATAACAAAAATCACTGGTTCTTATTCCTGATTTTTGTCATTTCCGTTGTCCAAGAAAGAAAAAAAATAATATTTAATGAACGCTTTGAATTCCAAGGTCATGCCAGTAGTTTTTAACACGTATAGAAGGTGGAGGAGGAGGTGAACCGTATTGCAGAAAACTTTGATAGGAACGCGGACGACTTTGCTCGTCATTTCCAGACGATCGCTTTCGTCTTTCTTTGACCTTTGACCGCAAGCAGCAAGCCTTGAAGAAAAGTTAACAGCACCTCTTTAGATTCGTGTCGTTGGAAATGCAAAGACCGAAAAAAAAAAAAAAATAAAGAAAGTCTCTCTTTCTCTCTTTCCCTCTTTTATCTCTTTAGCTTTTCCCCTTTTAATCTTTTGCAATATAAAATGTCTTTGACACGTCACGCGATACTATATCATCGCACATCGATGAGAACACATTCTAATGCATTCTAACGTATACATGTGTGTATGTAGTATGTATTACCTGGAAGATACCTGGTAAAGTAAAGTGAAATTAGTGTATACGTTTCAAAAGAAAGAAAGAAAGAAATAAAGAAAAAGAAATGATTTTCAATGAAATTGTATGTCAGGAAGTATTACAATGAATGAATTTCGATGCATTACAATTGCATTACGTATTTCTCACGTTTATCAATGAAAAGGGTTAGTAATAGTATTTATAAATTAATAACGCTCGAATAATTCAGGATTGTTATTGGAGAAAAATAATAAATCTGAAAGATCGATAGATCAGTTTTGAAAAGTATCGGAAGTGAAATTTGCGAAAGTAGTCAACAGGAAGTATTCATCTGGAAAGAAAGAAAGAAAGAAAGAACGAAAGAAAGGAAGGTATGGGAGGAAAGAAACGCGCAACATTATCGCAAAAAGAAACGGGAAAGGAGAAAAAGAATGAAGAGATGGAGAAGAAGAAAAGAGTCGATCTCCGGAACGGTAGTGGAGAGGATGATGAGAGAGAGATAGAGAGAGATAGATAGAAAATTGGAGTCAGGAGTAGCAATAGARCAGCAGTAGTAGCAGCAGCAGCAGTAGCAGTAGCAGCAGTAGTAGAAGCAGCAACAACACCGGCAGTAGCAGCAGTGGCAGCAGCAGTGCCCGGGCATCAGGGCACGAGCTTTCGTTGGCGCTTGCGCCGGGAAGGAGACGTTTTCCCCGTGCGACGGCTTTCTACCTGCAGGAGAGGAAGTAGAAGGGTGCGAGGTGGAAAGAAAGAGAGAGAGAAGGAAGGAAGGAAGGAAAAGGGGGATGCTCGCACGAAGTTTATCGGCGGCAAGTAACGGAGGGTGGTCTTCCTGTAGGTAGAGAAGGAGTATGATAGTAGTAGTAGTAGTAATATTAGTAGTAGGTAGGTAGGTAGGTAGGTAGGTAGGTAGATAGATAGATAGATAGATAGGTAGGTAGGTAGGTAGGTAGGTAGGTAGGTAGGTAGGTAGGCTGGAGTAGGAGAGGAGATCGACGGCGGTTGGCGGTGGTGGTGCTGGTGGTGGTGGTGGTGATGGTGGTGGTGGCGGTGCTCCAGAGTCGGAGGTGGAGGATCGCGAAACGTACTCAGTACTCCGAGGCTTTTGAAGAGCAGGCAGGCAGCAGTCTACGGCCCGGGACAGAGGGACCAGGACCGGTCTCGAGAGAAGGAGGAGGTGGTGTGCGCGGTGGTGGTGGTGAGAGGAGTGGAGTGGAGTGGAGTGAAAAAGAGGAGGAGAAGGAGGAGGAGGAGGTGGAGGCGAGGTGGTGGATGAAGGCCGAGGATTTCTCTCGTCATCATCGTCCTCAAGTCTTGCGAGATCTACAAGCTATAACGAACTTTTTTCTTCTTTTTACACGTGATCGTGTTCTCGTATTATTTTTGTAATTATTTGCAAGAGGATTGATAATTGTCTGGGATTATTTGTCTTAGGATTTCTAAAATTTCTCTTACTCTCTTTCTGTGTATTTTTTTGTTTTTGGTTTCTATCCATCGATCATTATCTATCTATCTTTAGGACGTTCAGCACTGAGAGGGATATAACGTGTTTTTGATTATCGTGTGTTCGTGACCTTGGAGCTATAGAGTTGACTCCGCTATTTCGGTGTAGCGTTTCGCGTGGTTATCACGTTACTACTCGTGTCACACATCGTTTTCACGCAGTATATATTTCTCGAACTATTTGTTGAAACTTCTCGTATCTCAGCGATAGAAGAGACAGTAATAGTGTGTGGTGTTCGACTCGAAGAGCCAGGGGCTGGAAACTAAAGCAAGCAAGCAAACTCTAGAAAGCTCTAGCAAGCTAGCAAACAAACTCTAGAAAGCTCTAGCAAGCTAGCAAGCAAACTCTAGAAAGCTCTAGCAAGCTAGCAAGCGGGAAACTCCAAGCGGGAAACTGGAAGAAAAGCTTGTGTGGTGCGGTGAGGTTAACCGCGTAGTACTTACTTCCTCGTGGAGGTAGTCGAAGATAAGCGGCGAAGGAGATGTGCGGAGTCGTTTGGCCGAGAGTTGCTCGGAGCACGTGCCACGCACGCAGAAGGCGCTCCAGGCGACATCAGGTGCGCTAATACGGGACGCAAAAGGGGAAGATTAGAGAGAGAGAGAGAGAGAAAGAGAGAGTGAGTGAGAGAAAGAGAGAACGTTTAAATCTGTCTTCTCCAATCCCATTTCTATTTCATTTTTTTTTTTACTTTCTCTCTCTTTATCCTCCTCCTCCTCTTCCTCCTTCCTTTTCCCTCCCTCCCCTTCTTCTCAATTCYCCCTATATATCTTCCTCGTAGCACTTCCTTTTCTTCCTTCATTTTCTATATTATTCACGCGTATAGTCGAATTTGAAATCCCCATTGTCCTCTCGTTGTACTACTCTCGAGGATCGGTGGTGAATTGTTCGTTCTCAAGTGTCTATATAAAGTGTTGAACTCAGGAATGAGTGGGAAAACTCGTCGTCGTTGTTCTCCTGGTACTCGTACTGTCGAGTTTGACGCTAAAGGTGACAGGACTGTCCAGATGATCCTTGTGTTAGGGACAATCCTCGTGACGTTCCTCGGCTTCGATGGGATCGGACACACCGTTGTTGCCGCTTATCCTGCTGTCTCTACCGGCAAAACTGCATTGCATCCAGGTTAGTAAAAGTAAAATTCGTTGTATAATCAAAAATAAGATTTTATTCTTTCTATAATATTTATCTTGAATAATATTCTAATTATCGTTGTTGTCGTTTATGATTAAAATTATTTTGTTTGTTGATTATTGAACTGTTGGTATTTTAACTTTGGTCGGATAGAAAAGAGCTTTTCTTCTTGTTCCTGTTGTTGTTGTTCTTCTTCTTCTTCTTCTTCCTTGACTTCCCTCCCCCTCCCTAAAGAACGTGCCGAACATCGGCAACGAGAATTCCAAATAGTTCGAATAGTTTAACTCTTTATAGGGTAGGATAGGATACAGAACCAGCGAAAGGTAGAAAGTTACGTTGTTCCTGGTAATTCGTGCATGAGAGAGAATTCCTTTTCATCTCTTTGACGAGAAACTCTCTCTTTCTCTCTGTTTCTCTAGTCGAATAATTTTGACGTTTACTCGCGACTTATCGAATTTCACGGATCCGATCTAAGATTAGATATTTTCTTCCTTTATTGATGCTAAAGACAGAAGAATGTTCCGATTATCTTTATCTACAGTAAGATATTTTTATATTAATTTACGTTAATTAATACCTTTTGTTAGTATGTTAATTTGAAGAATTTTATCTGAGTATTATTATTATTATTATTATTAAAATTCGTATTAACATTAATTTCAACTCATTCTGTAAATCTTTTCGAGAAGTACGTATAATCTTTCATTTCATTAACACCGTATGCATTTGTAATTATTTTTGTTCTCATTTTTATTTATAATTTAAAAAGTTTTCAGGTATTAAAATGTCTAAAAATAATGAAATGAAACCGAATGTCTACAAATGCGTCAGAGGTTGTGAAGAGTTTTAAACTTGCATTAGGATGATTCAAAGTATGAAGTTCACACATATACACACGTATATAGAATATATGTTTAGAACTCTTTTCGTTGAATAGTAAAATGGTCCAATTTGAAAGATGTGTACGGACAACGAGCTAAAATTGTCGTATCCTTTATTTCTCTCTCTCTTTTTTGCTCTGATTCTCATCCTTGGGATTATTGACCTGTCTAAAAGGGAACAAAAAAAAAGAAAAAAAAGAAAAAAAAGGAAGAAGAAGATATTCACATCGGTGGAGATGTATGTACGTCAAAAATTGCTACGGTTGAGGATTTTTTTATTCATTCTAATTCACGTAGGATAATCAAAGTCCCATTGTACGAATTGGATAACGTTTGCTGCTATGCTATACGTTGAACATGGGAGAGAATGAGAGCTTGAGTTTCGAACGAATCGAAATGAATTAAATGTAGAAAATGGAAGGGAAGGATAAAAAAAAATAGAGAGAGAGAGAAGAACTAGCCAGGGGATGAATTAAAAGCGAATAAAAACAATCGTTAGCTGACAAATCGCATTAGCGTTGTTGTTCATAACGATTTCAATGAGATATAAAGATAAAGTTATTGTTGTTTTTTTTTGTTTTGTTTTGGTTTCTATTCGAACGAATAATATTGGGAAAATAACAATATAAATCTATATGTACACGCGGTATGGTAAATATGTATCGACATGTTGAAAGATGCAAAATGAATTTTTGACGTGTCATTGGTGAATGTCTATCGGTTGCACTCTCGAAATTTGATAGTTTTTCGATGGGAGCTAACTTCTCTCTCTCTCTCTCTCTTTTTTTCTCTATTCAGGTATTTCTATTTGACTATTTTTCTGTCACCTCTTTGACAATTTTACCAGCTAAAATCTTGGCTTGGTGAATCTAACCATATATGTCAGCAATTAACCGTGAAGAAATATAAACGACCAGTTTACCATCGATTCAACGAAAATTAAACATTGAAAAATTGTATTATACTTCTTTTTATTTTTACGTAATCAAAAGTGTCGTTTATCGTTGAGTAAAAGAGAAATCGATTGAATTAAAAAATACTATTTAAAACCCTTTCCTCGAGAAAGTTTTCCACGAGAGTGGTTGTACACTCAAGGGCTAGCGTAAGCCGTGAAAACGTGTTATGTAACATTCATAGTAATTTCAAGAGTGATTGACGCTAAACTTTTTCATTCAGGGCTTTTTCATCAATGACGACTGATGCGACATTAAACGTGTTTAAAATATATTTCTAAAAGTTTTATACTACTTTGTTTTAACCTAAACAAATTGTCAGCCAAAATCCGATTTTTGACAGAATCTTATCTCACGAATCAGACTGAAAGATAAAACAGGTGTAGTAGAACTTAACGTTTTAAAATGGTCTATTTTTTCACAGTACGTTCATACAATAGTGAAGTAATGAGTACTATAGATAATAGTAATCATACTCATATTATCTGGGGAATGTATGAGGAATATATGGGGAATGCTGCCTATATATATTATATATTTTATATTTTTTATAAATATTCTGTTTCCGTAAATTAACGCAAAGATTTTAAACATTTGTAATTTATTAGGGTGTAGTACTATAGATAGTAGTAATCATATACCTACATTATCTGGGGAATGTATGGGGAATACTGCCTATACGTATATATTATATATTTTATATTTTTTTAATAAACATTCTGTTTCCGTAAATTGATGCAAAGATTTCAAATATATGTAATATAGTAGGGTGTTGTATGCGTGTGTGTAAGGAAATGTATGAGTATGCATTACTTATTCACCATGTTAAAAGGAAAGAAAGAAATAGTGAAAGGAATGTTTCTAGGATTGCCACTCGATTCTCGAAAATATAGTGAGTAGCGTCACATGGTGCGTCTTTCTTTCTTTCTTCCTTTCTTTCTTCTTTCTTCTTTCCTTTCTTTCTCGCGAACGTAAAAAGTATACCAACGACAAAATCACTTTTTGCCTGGTGAACTAAAGCGTCGAAGGGTTGAACGATCGCCACGGGGGACTCGAGTGCTTGGAATTCTTTTTCTCTATTTTTCTTCAACCCCTTCCCCTCCCTCCTTCCCAACCTCGTTCCCTTCCGCCCAGCACTTTACCTCCTATCACTCTTTTTCTTTCTTTTTCTGTTTTTTTTTTGCTTTTGCTTTTTCTTTTTCTTTTTCTTTTTCTTTTTCTTTTTCTTTTTTTACATTCGATAAATCTACGCTCGTCCTTACGAAAGCTTAAACGTTCTCTCAACGATAATTCTACCCTATCGTTTCCTATCTTACGCGCCCTTTCTTCCCTTCCACCTTCACCCTACAACACCCCTCTTCAACTATTTTTGTAATATATTATCATTTGTCACATACACGCACACACACACACACACAGTAGTTAACGTTTTATTTCTTTTTTTGTTGCATCGTCGTAAAATCGTCAACGTGTTGTTAACTGTACGAAGTTGGAGAAAAATAAAATTATCAAAGGAAAAAAAGAAGAAGAAAAAAAGGATACGTATACTCGTGAATATTTAATTATGAAGTTATACCAGAGATATATCAAAATTATAAACGACTAGTTTCTTGTTATCTGGTTACTGCATGCAACTCACAAACTCTCAGGTAAATAATAGCTCAAACAACGTTTTCATGCTGAATCAAACAAGAAATTAGTCATTTATAATATGAATAAGTTTCTCTGCAATTGCAAATAACTTTACGATAAAACATTTACGATGCTATATATATATTTTATTATTATTATTATTATTATTATAAACAACGCGGTTTGTCATTATTTTGAGTCGTGGAATCTAACCGATATAAAGTTTTTGATTGAATACCAATTGACGTATCCTTTACACACACGTGTATGTATTTATATATATATATATGTACATTTAACTCTTTCAGTACTTCTATCGATAATAAGCGGCATTCATCATAAATCTCCCCAAATCCTACTGCCCCCCCCATATATGAGCCGCTTATTTTCAAAGTAGCCTACCTCCATTTATGTTCGAATTAAAATATTGAAGGGTTTGCGTTTCAATGCAATGAAAAATATACGTACGAGATACTAGCGAATTATACTGCTTAAATTGTATCTATGGGTTTTAAACCTCAAATGCTTTATTAATACATAACATGAAGTAAAAAAAAAAAAAAAAAAAAAAATAAATAAATAAATAAATGAATGTTGTTGAAAACATTAATATGCAATAAGTGTTACATTATGTATTGTATTACAATATTTTTGTTTTGGTTGTGTTTACATATGTATGTATTTATTAGATGGACCGGAAAGTAATGTCGCTTTTTAACCTTATATTCAAACGAATAAATTTAAAACAAATTTTTATTTTTAATTAATAACATAATCAACCTTTTTTTCATTTGGTATGCAAATTTTGAATGCAGGACCGAATAAAGTCAATCAATTTTTAATTTAAAATATAAGAATTGACCACATACCATGGTATTTTAGTAAGTACGTAAAATTTGTATATTCTTATAGTTTGGTACGTGATTCGTTAACGTATACTCTACATACACAAATGAATTTTCGTGTATTATTTTGGATTTTTTTTTGTTCGTCGTATCACACGTGTATTACGACGTGTTGGGATGCGTCAACGTTACGTATTTACTTGTTCACTACAAGTGCGAGAACCAGGAGATACATACTATGTGCCAAATACACGCGTTACCACACGACACGTATATTATTTCTCTTTGTGAATTAGCAGAGGGGTTTGCTGCTGCTGCTGCTGCTACTGCTGCTGCTGCTGCTGCTGTTACTGTTGTTACTTTTCGCATTTCTGCTTTTCTCTTATATCTTATAATAAAACAAAATAATAGTTGACAAATAAACAGCAACAAAAAAGTAACTTAAAACAAAATAATCAAATGATTTAAGTATGAAATAAATAGTAATTAATATTAATTATTGAAAATATTAGGATCTACCGAAAAGTTCTGTCCATTCTGACAAACACCGGTTCAATTTTTCGTCTCTCTAGGGAGAAAACATTTTCTTCAAAATGCAATATACAAATTGTCATCACACTATGATAAGAAATTATAAATAATGATAATTGATAAATATTAGTCAATTAAAGAGATATGAA